GCAGACAGAAATTCAAAAATTAAGTGAATTTTGTAAAATGATGTAAATATCTGCAGATTGCAAATACTAGTCTTCAATACAGTGATAATCTGTTCCTCATATTATGTTTCCAAATGGATTTCCTCTCAGTGACTAAAAACTTTTTTTTCTTAGTAAAACAAGGACTAAACTGAAAAGTCCCAGGTAGCCCATGAAACAATTTTCAATTATTGTACTATTATAGGTTGGTACAATTTGTATTCTGGCATCACTGATTGTTAAAATCCTTTTTTAAAAAAAACTTTTACTTTTTGATCCCATGACATTTTAAAACAAACGTTTCATTGAAATGAGAGTAAAGGCTAAAAAAAGTATTTGATTTTTATGATTATAAATCTCAGTCCCTAAGGCAACTTTATAGGAACAAAAGTTCGTTTTTCTAAACTTCCTCCACTTTGAACAATAACTGTCTTACTTGAAGTATGGTATGGTTTCTTTGCCTACTGCTGTTAGCTGAATGACATGAAGAGACTTGGCTGGGATTTAAAAGTGACATTTTTCTTTACAAGACTTTCTTAGCTTAATGTGATTAAAGTTTCTGTTCTTTTTACTAAATGGGGTCATTTATGATTTTATACTAAGTACAAATAGAATGTCACATGCTAATTGAAAATTATAAGGTTATTTTTAAATAGGGTTGGGTTTCTAGGACCAGAAAAGAATTTAGAATTATTAATAATGGTGGTAAATTAATTTGCTCTGAATAACATACACATGTCCTTTCTGAACATGGGAACAATATGAATGGACATTTTTTAGTACATTGTATTTTGTACTAATATTGAAATAGTTTTCAGAGATTGGCAATATAAATAGATGAATCGAGAGGTTAGTATCAAAATAAATGGCGCATTCTAACTTTATAACCACACCATTATTCAAAATTTGGGTGGATTTGGGCTTACGAATTTCAAAAGGAATTGAAACCAACGTAGTACGATATATGAATTGTATTTCTTCATCAGGAGTCTACTCCAGCATGCAAAAATATATTAGTTTGTAATTTTAAAAGTAAGTGAAATAGCTGTATTAAAAACAAAAAAAAAAGAAATTAGATTTTTATGTCTTACTAGCTGTACCCAGCCACGCGTTGCTGTGGCTCAATCTGGTTAAATGGAAAAGAAAGAAAAGAGAAAGAGCACATTTGTAATATGTTTAATTTCACAATGCTTGTGGGTATACAATATTTTTTGTTGTTCCATTGTCTGTGCAGATATAGAGATTGTCTGAAATCGTAGCGTGTGTTGCTTTTACGTCTAACAGATGGCACTGTTTTTTTAAAAAAGCATGTTTTTATACCTGTCACATCTATATAATAGTAGGTATATAAAAACATAAAAACACGCGCGTATTCAAATGCAATGTTGTGTCAAAATTTCAAAGCAATCGGTGAAGAACTTTCGGAGATTTAAGATTTTGAACAAACAAACATTTACATTTTTATTTATATATAAAGTTTAGGCATTTCTTTGCTTGGCAGCCAATTATAGATCCAATTCTTGGGTTTCCTAAGACTACAGGTAGTTCTCAACTTACGACCACAATTGAGTGCAAAATTTCTGTTGCTAAGCAAGACAGTGGTTAAGTGAGTTTTGCCCCATTTTATGACCTTTCTTGTCATAGTTGTTAAGTGAATCACTGCAGTTGTTAAATTAGTAATCTGACTTCCCCATTAACTTTGCATGTCAGAAGGTCGCAAAAGGTAATCACATGACCCCAGGACACTGCAATGGTCATAAATACATGGCCAGTTGCCTAGCATCCGAAATTTGATCACATGACCGTGGGGATGCTGAAGATAAGATAAGATATATGAGATGAGATAAGATAAGATAACCTTTATTGTCATTTTTTACTATGAGTACACTGGTCACATTAAAAATGGAAATTTATTGCTTGCTCTCAAAAGAAAATATATATCTACTCATACATATATATAAACACACATATACACATGCTATATACATACATATAGATACATATACCTACCACATACATACATATATATATATATATATATATATATATATATATATATATATATATATAGGTCTTTGGTTGTTCGGATTTTCTCCCGCGTAAAATTGGAAGTGTTCGGGAGAAAACCCGAACAACCAAAGACCTACATACAAATACCCGCGAAAACCTCAGAAAACATATATATATATATATACATATAAATATTAATCACTGTCCATTTTGAATACATACAGTAGCGGAAAAAGGAAACTTGAGAGTTCACAAGGTTGATACTATATGGAAGCAAACTGTGCCTGAATCCGGATGCAATGGTCGTAAATGTGAAAAATGGTCATAAGTCATTTTTTTTCAGTGCTGTTGTAACAGTCACTAAACAAATGGTTGTAAGTCAAGGACTACCTGTAGTGAATATCAAGTTCCTTCCCAGAATGAAAGAAATCACTTTGCATCTTAACAAAGCAGGACAATTTCAACATTCTTAAAATAGGCTGATTCTCCTAGATTTCACTTCAAAAAGCTCTAAATTTTTCTTCAAAAAAAATCCTCTGTCTTTAATAGGATGAAATTTTAGTTGACAAAGTTTTAACTGGTCAAAGCTAACTTTCATTGAGAAGAATTTGTGTTTTGGGTGAGAATTAATTTAGAAAGTAGAGAAGTTTTCCTAAATCCTTATAGAAAGGGTCCATAGGCATTACGCTTGTAGCTGCACATGTCTGGAAGCTAACAATTTAATGATGCCTATATAGAAATTTATCACTACAGCTGCTGCTGCTAGTACTACTAGTAGTAAATTTTAATAGATAATGTTATATACTGTGAAGACCTAACTCCCTAGTTTGATGGTCATAGGTACGAGGACTGGTCGAAAATTGCTTTTTTTCTGTGCCATTGTAACTTTAAAAGATTGTGTAAAGAATGTATTGGACAAATGAACCGGGCTCACAGAATTCACTAACTATGCTAGCATAGAATTAAATTGTCAGTGGTTCCATGCACCTAGGAACCGAGTTGGTGGCTCAGAGTATCAGACTGTCACATTAAGCTGTAATATTTTTTATGTGTTAAATCAGATTTTATACTATTAAGGTTTCTTAACTCCAGCAGAGATTTTAGTATGTTGTGTGAAACAGCCCGGACAGAAGACTTATGAGGCAAGTAGTGTCATACACTTATGATGTCAGCCTTGATTTTAAGATACAGGGGTGCATGGTAAGAGGCAAAGCACAGCCATGTTTTGAAGACAGTAAGTTATTGTGAGAACATGGAGGCTCAGATATAGTCAGCATCCTCTCATCAAGAGTTTGCAATATTTCCCCAACAGTAGAGAAAAAGGCAAACAGATTGACCCAGTGGTTTTTCTGCAATGTCATCTTAACTGTGGGCCTAAAACAAGTAATCATATTGCTAAAGAAAAATATCATTGTTTGCTAGTATGACTGGAACGAAAGCTGAATAGTTATTTGGCCTGAAGGAAATAATCAATCTGACTTTGATAACCCATCACTTTAAAAGGGCCCTTTATGTTTGTGAAAAAAAGTGTGACGTCAAAGCTGTGGAAAAAAAAAATAGTACCAAAATTTCCAAGCTAAATTTACGTAGCTTCTCAAACACATAAACACATCTGCACACAAATACAAAAAGGTTCCCTGTGCAAACAGATTATTTTTTTTCCATGTATAGCAAATTAGTTGATGGTTATTAGAAGCCTAAAATGTAATATCCAAGTTACTTGTGCCATATTTGGAAGAACTTGTTTATGCTTCGTCCATCATTGTGCCTTTGAACTGGTAGGACAGATAATAAAATGAAAATTGTCCAACTAGTTGCCAGACATTCCTAGAAATATATAAACGACATGCTGGAAATGCTTGAGTATAATCATTACCAGGTGAGCTTTCTTTCTTTCTTTCTTTCTTTCTTTCTTTCTTTCTTTCTTTCTTTCTTTCTTTCTTTCTTTCTTTCTTTCTTTCTTCCTTCCTTCCTTCCTTCCTTCCTTCCTTCCTTCCTTCCTCTTTCTTTCTTTCTTTCTTTCTTTCTTTCTTTCTTTCTTTCTTTCTTTCTTTCTTTCTTTCTTTCCTTCTTTCTTTCTTTTTTTCCCTGTGAGCTTCAAGCACTGTCTCACTTATACCTAAATCTATTTATTTCAGTGGGACTGAAGCTATATGCATGCATGCGTTTTCGTATATTTATGGTACAATGAATTTAGAGAAGATTACAAGGAATTTTTTTCTTAATAAATATAATAAATGTGGTTGCAGTATGAATATTTGTAGAGAAACACTGTTTTTAGTGTAGCATCACAGTTTTTTCATAAAATAGTTGGATGCAACAAAAGCAATTGAGTCAAATAAAATCTATTTCAAAATGATGAAATACATAAAGTAAACGCTTAAGCATTGTACGTACAATGGTATACATTTTTGGGTTTTTCAGAGTGCTTTCTCTCTTTTTTTGTAACAGTAGCAAAGACATTTAAAGAAGACTTCTGTATATCATTCTCTATTTTTATTTATTTATTCACTTTTCTTGTAGCTGTTCAAGTCCAACAGATTTAAAATGCATCAATTATTTGCATGCATTTTATTAAGTGTATGTGTATCAACAGATTTTATTGAGAAAATTTATATTTTATACCTATTTTGGTTATTTGCTTATTATTTCAATTTTATAAATTATGGATATTTTTAAAGTATTGATCTTCAGGGTTCTGTTTGTTATATATATGTGTTGTTTAAACAACAGGAATTATAATATATATATATATATATATATATATATATATATATATATATATATATATATATTTATAATTCCTGTTGTTTAAACAACACATTTACATTAATATACATCTTTTCCTTTCACACATAGCTTTGTTTTCATGTAGAAAACTGGTGGATAAATCTCTATGGACACAATATTCACAGCAGTTCTGATTCCCAAACACTGATGAGAAGCTGCATCTTTTCCTTCTGTGTCCACAGGTGCAGACTCACTTGGAAAACCCCACCAAGTATCACATCCAACAAGCTCAACGGCAACAGGTCAAACAATACCTCTCAACTACGTTAGCAAACAAGCACAACAATCAGGCATTAAGCTTACCTTGCCCAAATCAGCCCGTTGACCACGTTATGCCACCGGGCACTGGAAGCAGTGCACCCAACAGCCCTATGGCCATGCTTACATTGAACTCCAACTGTGAAAAAGAGGTAAGAGCAAATCTTGTCTTTGGCTTTTGATGCTTTAAAAGCTATGTTTCTTGTGCAGTCTGTTTTCCTTCAGGTAGTGAAAATGCTTGATTGGTCTCACAGTCTTCATCGTCCTCTATATTTAGTTGGGAATAGATCTCTGGGATGCTCATCCAACTTCTTTAAAGAGAAAGAAATAGAAATTATAAATATTAATATGTCTAAATGAAAAGCATGAACTACTTCGTAAGAGCAACTATAAGAATTCTCTCCCTATTTGAAATATAGATACTTCTAGATTTTACTTATATATATGCAAATCAAGAATTATACTAGACTATTGGCTATTTTGCAGGTTCCCACATAAATCTTTTCATGGAATTTAACTTTTCAGAACTCTTGCACACTAACTTGATTTTAGTTGAATTTTTCATTGCTTGTTGACCACAACCAGTTAACTGTTAAGCACACTTTCCTCCATCCTTATGATCCATACCCTTTGTGATTTCTGAAAATTCTTATTTAACTGCATGCAGAGACCCACAGGTGATTCCAATCTATATGAAATTGAAAATATTTTCCATCAGTATATGATCTCACTGGTTCTAGTCCAGCACCTTAGCCATCCCACCAAATTGATATTTTCTCTCTCTCTTTCTGTTGTTCACACACACACACGCACACACACATACACACACACAGAGAGAGAGAGAGAGAGAGAGAGAGAGACTTGCACACACTCATTTCTTTTAGATTTTGAAGCTTTATTAAAGTTTTAAAAACTATGAAATACAAAAAAGCAAAGAAAAGGAATTAAAAAGAGCAAAAGAGATAACAGAAAAAATAGGGAATGCAAGCAACAACAACAGAAAAAAGCTATAAAAATGAAACTTTTGACTTTTTTGATACAGATAAAAACGTAAATTAATGACCCTTTGAACTAGAATATATCATAAAAACAATAGTTCTATAATCATAAACATATCTAATCATCAAAGCCTAAAATTAAAATCTCTTAATTTTTTCCAGTTTCAATAAAAAAAAAAAATTAGCTTCCAAGTAGAAACAAAACTAGACATGGTCTTTTCTTTAATCGAAGCCATGTCTGCCAATTCCATTAACTTCAGCTGCCATTCTTCTATTGTGGATATATGTGTGTCCTTCCATCTCTGCATGTACAGAAGCCTTGGGGCTGTTGTTAGATACAGTATAAAACAAAATTCCAGCAATTATTTTATTTCTTAATTTAGCTGTAAAATGTATTCTAAAACAGGGTTCCCCAATCTTTCCAGCTTTGCAGACTGGTGGCAGGGGGGAGGGCATGGTTCTGTGTGAGTAGCAGGTGCATGTGCCTGCCGCTCATGCAAATGGAGCTCATGCACACACACTTACCCGCTGCTTGCACAAGTGGGGATTCATGCATGCTCACCTGGTTCCAAAAGGCTCAAGGCCCAGTAGTGGGTTGTGGCCCAGGCGGTTGGGGACCCCTGTTCTAAAATTATTATCAATGAAACTTTCAGTAAACAATAAAGGGACCAACTTAGATAAATTTCCAGTCGTGAAAGCCATTTAGCACAGGTAGGCGAACCTTTGCAGCTCAGGCAACATTGATATCTTCAAAATAGCTGTCTTTGCCAGTCAAAGAATACCCATTTATGTATAGTCAAACTAACCCCAAGACGTTCCCTGCTATCTCAAATGACCTACCTCCATCAGAAGAATTTTTGAACAACTGTTTGTGTAAGGAGAATTGAAGCATCAGTGTGCATTAAAAATTAAAAAAAATACCCATTAGCAGGAGATTCTGTGCTGTAGGAACAAATAAACATGATGTGACTTTTGAATTATGAATGTGCATAATTCTTCACTACAGGATGTGCCCTTGGCTGCTAATGTAGTTGGATTTAATAGGGATTAATCTGTGAATGGACAACAGTTCTGTCGGGGTATAGAACTCCATACTAGTGAAAACTATTGGGGAACAAGTTATAAGGACTATTTGGTTTCACAGACTAATAAATAATCTTCCAGAATCATCTGGTTGACCACTGTGGGACCAAAAAGGCTAGTTTGCATGGATCTTTCTAGGATTTTAATCAGATTATTAAAATCTGATTAAATTATTTGATTGTGACAGGATTAACTTTCTGTTCTAAGGACCTTTTCGTTATTTAAATATTAGTTAAATAATATTTTATTTATCCTGGTGCTATATTATCCTGATGTTACACTGTATCCCATTCTGATCTTTTTGTTTTTATGTTTGTTCTCTTTTTTCATGGTTGCAGGGCTTTTATAAGTTTGAAGAACAAAGCAACAGAGCCGAAAATGAATGCCAGTCTCTGAATACACATTCTCGAGTGTCATGTATGCAGGTATGTATGCTTGCATATTGACTGATAGAATCTTCATGTGATTTCTTAAGATCTCCAAGCCTATTTCATATTATTCATTTTGCTAAGGTATTTAAAATACAGTTAGAAAACATTCTAATAATTATACATTTGGAAATACATGTATCCTACAGATATGTTCCTGATGAAAATGGTAGTGGATCCGCCAGGCATTTCATATAGCATATCTGGTTATGCTTTCATCCAGTTAACAAATATTGTGCATGAAATAGCGATAAAATTCAGAACAGTTAGAAATTACAAACAGTGGTAGAATTTTGACTGTGGCTTGAATTTTGTAGTATTTCAGTAGGAAATAAATTCCAGTAACTCAATGGTCTTTGATATGATTGGATTACTTATGCACGGAGATCTGTTCTAATTGTTAAATACATTTGTGTTCTGTCAATAAAATACGCAAATGCATTTTTTAAATAGCCAAAAATAATTGGCTTTACAGGAATGCCAAATTATTCAAATCCCTAATATAATTCCTTTCGAGCAACAAAATCTTCAGACTACTCAATAAGAAAATAAGAGTTTCTATACATACTACAATCTAGCTGTTATAGTTTGCAATGTAGGGAATTTTGGGATTGGTATTTCTGGGAAGAGTATAGTGAAAACTCTAAATATTAAACATTAAAAATGTTCTCTGAGAAAATGTATCTGAAGTTATTTAAGAAGTTTTGTATAACAAAGGCATACAATCATGTCATATTTGAACTAATTCCTTGTTTATCAGCTTTCAAGATATGAGCAATTGCCAGCACCAGGGATAGGAAATATTTATAATATCTTTCAAGCTGTCTTACACTATAATGCATTACTTTGGGGGATTTCACTAGGTTCCTACTGGGTTCATATTACTTAGAATAACAGAGTTGGAAAGGACCTTGGAGGCCTTCTAGTCCAACCACCTGGTTGAGCAGGACACCCTGCACCATTTCAGACAAATGGCTGTTCAGTCTCTTCTTAAAAGCCTCCAGTGAAACAGCACTCACAACTTAAATATAACTGTAAACCTACAAGGTGATGGGATAGTTGACAGAAGAAATGCAGAATGGCTAGATCACAGTCAAAAACATTTCTAGGTCTCAGGCATCTCCCTAATTAAACAAACAATTTTTTAAAAAAAAACATCCAAATCTTGTGAGAATCAGTCATTTCAATAGTGTTTAAACTGGGAAGCTGCTGCCCTTTTAGGACACTGCTGATCAAGTTTTGTTTAAAATTTAAATTAAATTAAATTTAAATTAAACTTCTTCAAAATGAATTTTGTTAACTAGTTACACATACTCAAATCAGCCATACAGGTGAGGAAGCAAGGAAACAAAACCCAGGTATAAAACAGCAAATATATTTTTGAAGCTGAAGCTTCTTTTTTCACTGATCTTCCCTTAACATATTATGAGGCACAACAGGTCTGTAGCCAGTCTTAATTCAACCAGTTTACAATAGGGCTTATGTAATCCTGAAATAGGAAATAGCTTTTTTAAGAGTAAAAAAATGGGAGTGATCAAAGAAGGTTTAGAGGATCGGTTCCCCAGCTCCTAAATAAATGAATTGGGATATTTTTATTTATTGAACTTATATAATTGCCCAACTCAAATACAGGACTCTGGATAGCTAAAAATATTTTAGAAACAGAACAGAAACAATATAACAATATTAGAAATAATATGATTAATAGCTGGGAATCAGTAGAGGTATACCTCATAACAGTATTCCTCAACTGATTATTACAATGGAGACCAAAATATCTGTTGCTAAGCAAGCCAGTTCTTAAGTGACTTTTGTTCCTTTTCTTGCCACAATTTTAAATGAATCACCACAGTTGTTAAGGTAAAATCTGGCTTCCCATTGACTGTGCTTGTTAAGTGGTCGCAAAAGGTGATTACATGGCCCAGGGACATTGTCACTGTCATAAATACATGCAATTGCCAAGGGCCTGAAGTTTGATCACATGACTATGGGGATGGTGCAATGGTCGTGAGTGTGAAAAATGGTCATAGTCACTTTTTTCAAGTCCATTGTAATTGAATGGTCTCTAAATGAATGGTTTAAGTTGAGGACTATCTGTATATCCAGGAGGTCTTTCCTTTCTGAGTGTTTGATGCATATGAACATATTTTGCCTTAATTCAGATTTCTGATACTCCTTATCTTTTGTTACAGATGGATGATGTAATTGACGACATAATCAGTTTGGAATCAAGTTATAATGAAGAAATCTTTGGATTGATGGATCCTGCTCTACAAATTGCAAATACGGTATTTTGTTTTCTGTTATGTCTTTTTAGTTCTCACTCTTGTATAACTTAGTACCATTTTTTCATTAAAACGTGTCTATTTATTCTTTTATCACCAAAGATAAAATACAAGACAAAGAAAAGGAAGAAAAAGAAAAAAAGACTAACAAATATCCAACCCTAATAACAACAAAAAAACTCATGTGTACAGCCCCTCCCATATCAAATACATTTAACATTACACATAAGAAAAAAATCCACCTCAGCTGAATGCCAATAGATACATCAAAAATTTAATATATTTCCCTTCTCTTACCTAATGGGTCTTCAATAGTTATAAACTTTTTCATCTATATTTAACAAAAATGCTATATTACATAAACAACCATCCCTCTTGTGGAAATCTATTTATCTAATAATTGAATCAACCTAACATTTGTTTACATATACATATACATATCAAATAGTTAAAAAGCATGAGCACCAGGAAATTTACAAAACTATAAAAGTTTTAATTCGATAAAACAAAGTAAGCTTACTGAGGTGAAGTGCCCCAGGGACGGGTGTGAGAAGAGAAAACAGTTTAGGGATGTGGAGTTTACAATCAATCAAAAAAGGAAGGTGAAGAATCTCCCTGGCTTACGGTCGTACGAGGAGGGGGGAATGGGCAGTAACACACACACAGGAAGAAAAGTAAGGAACATGCAGTTAGTGACACGGAAGCTACAACCAAAATGCAGATTGGTCAGCTAGGACCCGTGACGAGATCTAAGAGTCGGGCGCAAATGGCATCTCACCTATAAATGAACTTCCCCATCGACTAGAACGTACCCTGACGATGTTGGCAGTCGCCAACGAAAGCTTGGAGTTTTATCAAATTAAAACTTTTATAGTTTTGTAAATTTCCTGGTGCTCATGCTTTTTAGCTATTTGATATGAATACACCCAGGAATCACTCTTTTGTTTTTAATATTGTTACATATACATATGTATGCATATACATATACAGTGTATACACACACCCACACATACACATATCTATTTGTGTGTGTTTGTGTGTGTTTGTGTATGTCAGAGGTTCCCAACCAGGAGTGCTAGCACTCCCTGGGGGTGCAAGACAATATTCCAGGGGGTCCATTATTTAGAACTTTTGTAAGGGGTGCGAGAATATATTAGAAGCGTTCTAGGGATGTGGGGTATAGAAAAGGTCGGGAGCTGCTGGTGTATTTATATATGTCTCTATATAAAACATGACAATCTACAAGTTATCAAAAAGTTAAAACTAATCTTCAAATTCCTCTGTTAACCATCTGTCATTGTATTTAACACATAGAAAACCACAAATGGATTCCAGTCTCTTGTAAATTTTCTAATCCATTTTCTCTAATCAAAGCAATTAATTTTGCCATCTCTGTTAATTCAGTCGATTTTAAAATTCTTCTACGGTAGGCATCCCCTTTTCCCTTCAACGCTTAGCATATCCAATCCTCGCAGCAATCACCATGTTAAGAAATAACTTCCCAAATTGTTTTTCACTTGATTTATCTATAATACCTAGAAGAAAAGCTTCAGGTTTCATTAATATTTGTACTTTTAGTATTTTCTGCATTGTTAATTTTATATTTTTCCAATATACATTTGCATGCTTACAAGACCACCACGTAATTTAGAATGTACCTGGATTTTTTTGCATTTCTAACACTTGTAGGAACTTATATTTAATTCTTTTTTTTCTTTTTGCCAAATAAATTTGGATATATCTTTCTGCCACTGTTTAAAAGAAAAATCTTTATTCAATATCAGTATAATCTGGAAAAGAATAACATTCTGCACAGTACATTCGTCTTAATTACTGAAATTCTTCTGATTAATGACAAAACTAGTTTTTCCATTTATATGTCCAACTTTATCTCCTTTCATATTTTAACATGATTATTTTTATATAACTTAGAATTTTCATTAGTGAGACTCAGCCCCAAATATTTTAGCTTTAAATCCTTTTTTAAATTTCAATTTCTTCTTCTTTTCCTCATTCATATTCTTAGTATTGTCATCTTTTATTTATTTATTTTTAAATCCACCATTTTCTCCAAATATTTTAATCTTCTTCATAACATACTCAATATTCTCTAGCATAGGGGTGTCAAACTGCTGGCCTATGGGCCGGACCCGTCACCAGGGAACCGCGCCCACCCCATTGTTGGCAATGGGAAAAAAGCTCCAATACTTCACGCAACATCACCTGACATTGCAAGTTTGACAAGTCTGCTCTTGTGTATCTTGCAAAATCAAAACCAACTCATCAGCAAAAGCACTTATACTTATGTGCTTTAATTTGTGATCCTTTTACTCTGTCATCTTGTCTAACAGTTCCAGCACCATGATAAATAATGTTGTTGTTAATTGCGAAGTCGTGTCCGACCCATCGCGACCCCATGGACAATGTTCCTCCAGGTCTTCCTGTCCTCTACCATCTTCTGGAGTCCATTTAAGTTCACACCTACTGCTTCAGTGACTCCATCCAGCCATCTCATTCTCTGTCGTCCCCTTCTATGGCCCTCAATCTTTCCCAGCATTAGGCCCTTCTCCAGTGAGTCCTTCCTTCTCATTAGGTGGCCAAAGTATTTGAGTTTCAACTTCAGGATCTGGCCTTCTAAAGAGCAGTCGGGGTTGATCTCTTCTAGGACTGACCGGTTTGAACGCCTTGCAGTCCAAGGGACTCGCAGGAGTCTTCTCCAGCACCATAGTCAAAAGGCCTCCATTCTTTGGCGCTCAGCCTTTCTTATGGTCCAACTTTCACAGCCATACATTGCAACTGGGAAAACCATGGCCTGGACTATACGCACTTTTGTGGGCAGGGTGATGTCTCTGCTTTTTAGTATGCTGTCTAGATTTGCCATAGCTTTCCTCCCCAGGAGCAAGCGTCTTTTAATTTCTTGGCTGCAGTCCCCATCTGAGGTGATCTTGGAGCCCAGAAAAATAAAATCTGTCACTACCTCCATTTCTTCCCCATCTATTTGCCAGGTATTGAGGGGGCCGGATGCCATGATTTTGGTTTTCTTAATGTTGAGTTTCAAGCCAACTTTTGCACTCTCCTTCTTCACCCGCATCAAGAGGCTCTTTAGTTCCTCTTCACTTTCTGCCATTAGCATTGTATCATAAATAATAAAGGGGATAAAAGATTCTCCTGTCTTGTTCCTTTCTGGATTTCACATGATTTTATCAAATCTCCATTCCCCATAATCTGTTCTTTCTGTAGTGTATAAATGAACTTCAGTCCATGTAGAAAGTGCAGTCCAAAATCCATATTTTTGACTACTTTTAAACATAAAGTCCCAACTCAAATTATCAAAAGGTTTTTTCTGCACCTAAGAAGATTAGTGAAACTATTTGTCAGTACATTGTTATAAATGTTCAATTATATCCAAGATTACTCTCACATTTTTTTTTAATTGTCTTCTGGGTAGAAAATCACACTGGTCTTTATGTATGTAATTTTGTAAAAAAAAATTTAAGTCTTTCAATTAAAATGGATGTAAACAATTTATAGTCATTGTTAAGAAGAAAAATTGGTCTATAATTCTTCACAGAAGTCCAGTCCTCTTTAGGCATCAAAGACATGTAGTATGTACAACACGTAGGCATAGAGTTTCTTTGTAGACTAGAGTTCATTAAATCCTTCTGTCATGGTTTCAACAGACAGAGTCAAATAAAGCAGAACTCTGAGGCTTGAAAAATCCTCAAGGAACATGTTTATTAGTTACAAATTATCGGCACAATCAAAAGTGAAACCAAGTCTGAAAATTCCCACTAAAAATTTCCCAGTTACAAAGTATAATGTCCCACCCACAAAACTATGCCATCACTATGTTCCCCAATAAATTCATTTGGTGGGCTTTCTTATACAAGCCCAGTCCCTGATTACGGGAGTAATAGATGACCTTGGTTCCCACGGGACAGAAGATTATTTTGACCAGTGAAGTACTTGGGCAAGCCCCCCTCCCTCCATTCTATGTGGCAACCTAGAATGAAGAGAAAGATGGCTGCAGCTAGGCTCATTGTAGAATTGACACCTTCATCAAGAGAAGTAATTGCTCTTCAAAAGCTTTATAGAATCCATTCAATAAATCATCAGGTCCTGGTGCTTTATCTGTCTTAGCACTATTAATTGATTCTGTTATTTCAAAGGTCATTATTGGACTGTTCAAAATTTTAATTTTCCCTTTTTTCAAATGGCCATTTAGATTTTTTTTCTTCATTCTACTCTAGAATATATAAAGAAATTACCTTCCTTATTAATGCCATCTATCATCAATAATTTGACAAAGGAACATAAATATGTACGGATAAATATTTTTAGGGATATAGAACCCAAGATGCAGCTTGAGACTTGATTTGATTCAAATTGGAAATTTGAAATTCAAAATCAACATGATTTGTTTGGAGAAAAATACAATAAGCAGTACATTGTATCTATATTCCTGTATCTTCATATTTTGATAAAATGTATAAAAATAGCCAGTATACCCTAATTCCCCAGAACATAAGGTGGCTAACTTGAGGGTCTCTCTATAATATTATTTCACATTCACCTATTAAAGGCAACGATGAAAATTAGACCAGTCTCTATGGGTCCGTGCCTATGAAATTGTGCTGAATTAATACAGAAATAATCTGATTCTACCTTTCAAAAGCCTTTTAAAAAGTCATCTTTTATTTAAACAATCAAAATGTCAACCTTCATCTGGAACTGGATTTTTGAGCTGGGAGACTTGTTGATAAAGCTGGTGGCCAACATAAGCCTTTTTAGAAGAATGACAGACTACATGGTATTTGTGACTAATTTTTAATACTCTCAGAAGTCTTATACTGTGACTGTAATTCAATATATACATAATTTGCACTATACAGCATTGTTCCATCAGCAAGCACATTTTATCAGAATTATTCATGCACTGAAAAAGATACATTCAATACAAAGTAAGACAACAAGGGGGAAAAAAAAGCTACCTCAATAAATCTGAGTCTTTTTTTTCTCTACAAACAGTTTTCCCCACTGAGACCAAAATAGTAAAGTGCTTCACTCCTCCACATGGTCTGCAAGGCAAGCTTTGCAGAAGTCACCGGCTGATTATTCATGTCCATATCAGAAAGCTGATTATGCTGTGTTGTCCATATTTGGAAGGAAAGAGCTTGAAGCTACTTTATCTCCAAGTCCTTTTGAATTTCTTGGGATATGAAACAAATTTATTCAGCTTGATATCTCAATTTACTTGAAGATTCATCTCCAACTTATCAATTCAATTTCTTTCCAATCAAATACCTAGTTGAATCATTGCACACATTGTGTGTAGGTGTGTGTGCATTGATTTATCTGAGCTAAAACAATAAGTTTCTGTCTTCATCAAAAATTTCTGATTAAAATCTATGATTCAACTCCTCTGTTATCCAAAGTCCAAATCAGGTTGGTTACCATTGCTCCAGAATTCAGAGGAACAGAGCATAGAAAGTGTACTTGGATATTTCCCTAAATCATGTCATGATTTTTGGAAGACAGCATCTTGTTAGACAGCTACAGTGTAGTTTCTTGGTTTGAGGTTTCTTACTGAAGTCTACACCAGGACATATCCTATAGGTTGTCTGTTAATTTGGAAGAATGCCCTACATATAAAAATTAATGAGACACAATTGTAGTACATTTATCCATTTGAAATCCATAACCAAAATCCATGAATTATGTTGGCAGATATCGTATTGAAATACAGTAATTTTGCTCTGGTAATACTAGTGCCTAGTATTAATTCTTTAGAATTCTTGGTCTAGTCAGATACTAGGCCCCAATAAAAGAAGATGTCTTCTTGGAGCCCATGAATAGTTCTACAGAGTTAGTAAGGATGCCATTGTACAGAAGCAAAAAGAAGGCCCAGTCTGTAACAGTGGTAACTGTGCTTATTTGCTATTGAGATACAGTAGTCACAGAAAATCTCATTTTTATAAGATGTAATAAATTAGATACTATAAATTATTGCAATGGAACTTTATGTAAAGGTCACACATGATACATGTTTGATCTGCTTTGACTCGATAAGAGCGCACATATCTTCAGGACTAGTTTGTTCATTCTTGTGGTTTATCTTTTTAGTAGAGCATTCAGATTTTCACCACAAACGCTATAGTGTTATCTTAAAAACTATTTGTGGTACCTTTTACTAAATGGTCTTAACTTTATTTAACAAAGGATAAACTTCATTGATTTTTTTTTAGATTTGCATCTAAATCTAACCACTGGTGGTGGTTTCTTGATTGGGCTGTTGTTTCGAAGTTCCTTGATTGGGTAGTGTTTGCTTTTTGATTGTTGGTCTAATATTAATCTTGGTGTGAATCTCTACTCATATGGTGTTGATTGCTGGTGGGGAGATGTTTTGATCTTTCTGTTTCCTTTTTGGCTTTTTGATTGTCTGTTTTGAATGGCATGTAGATGTTTATGTCTGTGTGCCTGTTAATGGCTGATTTGTCTGAGTGCAAGATCCTATATATTGGTTACATTCTCTGAAGTATATCTCAGACATCCGCAACAAGATATAACCTTTGTTTCTGGTGGAGACAGGCAAGCAACAATACAGAAATGTTGGTGGTCTTTGCACTTAAAATTATCAAGGGTTTTTGCAGGAAACACAGGAGATAACATCTCATCTCTTATCCTTTCCAGTTACCTGTCTCTGGCAATCTAGTGGACTTGTATGGGAATCAAGGTTTGCCTCCTCCAGGAATTAACATAAGCAATTCCTGTCCTGCTAACCTTCCTAATATAAAAAGGGAACTGACAGGTAAATATGAATTCTGTTTTTAAAAATATAATAAATACGCCATATCAGGAACATATGCAATTTAATGCTGGAAATATAAACATTCTGTTGGATTAAACCCCAACAATTTCTGCTATATTTATTGAAAGAAAGATGGGGGCTGGGAGTGAGATGGGGAGATAAACACAGGCAAAAAAAATTGTGCTTCACCACAATCAATTTAGACTTGCCAGCTTCATTTCAATGCAATATAATCCCTTTCCCCAATGCAATATAATCCCTTTCCCCAATAAATTGTCACACTTGTTTGTACATATATGAATTCTATACTGATATATTTGGCAAGATTCAGAATATATGGTCAGGATGCTAAAAAACTGAATTCATAACTATGTATTAAAATTAATTGCTATAAAATTTTCCATTTATAAAATTCATTGATTTTCCAATATGCATACAAAAAGAGATTCCCCTCCCTTCTTCCATCAAAAACTCAAGGAAATAGGAATAAGGAAGAGTGGGCAAAAGCAAGGGACATCTGCCCTGGGAAGTAAATAAAAAAAAAGGGGGGGGAGGAATGAGGAGAAGGAAACAGCAAACTGAACAGGGAAGGACATTTTAAAAACAAAACAGAGACGATTAAAATTCATTAGGCAAGCAGGCTTTCACAAACAGGGGCTAATCTTTAGTCTTTAAATAGATATTTTTCAGCTCCCCAAATGATTTCTTTTGTTTTCAGCAACAGTTCCTATTCTTATTTAAGACAAGATTCCCAGAGTCCACAAATAATTCAGAACAATTTTACTCAACAACATCCAATTCAGAAAGATTCTTAGGTCTCGTGTCTTTAAAGGAGCTGCAATTAATCTTGGGCTCACCTTCCATAGGATATACCCTTTGCCCGCCACCAACTAAGATTGAAACTGGGATCTTTGCTTCCTAAACAAGGCTAGCAAACTCTCTGCCCTCTCAGAAGAGCAAGGACACTGGTTTCTATTGGTGCTGTCAACAGAACAGGTCCTCTCTTGCAAGTCTCCATAGTTCCTCTGCGCTTGGCTAGCTGGGAGAGAAGACAAGGGAGATCAGGATGACCTGAGGTTACCAGTGAGAATTGCAGTCTTGTGGAACACACAACTGCTATTCCTACTTGAGCCTAAAAACTAAAGGAAGTAAAACTTCAGTCGCCAGGAAGGTTAATTTCTCTGTGGTAGCTGAGGCACAAGGGTTATTTAGCATAGGCAGAAATGAGGTTGGTAGACAATTTGGTGTAAAACAACTTTATATGGAACAGAACGTGTGATAGAAAATATAGAGCGAAAAAGAAAATGAAGCTTCAGTTGATGACCGGGTGTCTTTTTTCACTATTCATTTGCTTAAGGGTTATTTGTCGTATATACACTATGGTTCACAGAGCATAGTCTGAAAATAAACAATGCTGTGTTCAAATGTGAAATATCAAGTTTTCTGAGAAAGTTCCTTGTACCAGTCACGTTGTATGGACCTAAAACAGCATCCTTGAATTGATGGGCAAGTCATGAGTGCAGAAAAGATTTTTGTTAGTGTATAGTATTTGTCTTTCTTTTTTTAAGGATGGGACAGGAGGGGGAAAAAACCAAACCAGCAAAGATAAAGCATCATTGTGTCTGATGCAGCTTCATTAAGAAAGATGCAGCATTTGTTCATTATTATGCTTTTATAATAAAGAGGCCTTTATTATCGTATTTGGAAATAATCTAGGAATAGCCAATACAGACGTTTCACTGCATGGTTGATCTTCATCCAATGGTTAATATGTGTAGCTTTTTTTAAATTTAATGTTAGTAGTTAGGGAGAAAAAAGTATTACTTTATTATAGCATGCTGCTTCCTTGGAGCAAACCTAATATTTTAATGGATAAAATCCAACGTTGCACAAAATGACTTTTATACTTGTGCAACAGGACTTGGTCGTCTCGTTCCCCAACCTTCTGGAGAAGATTTTGAGGGTGCAGGGTACACAGGGGTACACGAAAAAGGAGGAATCTCTTCCTTTCCTGTTCTACTGATGGAAAATATTCTGGCAGATGGAGGCTTAACTGAATGCAGCCCGTTATCCTCAGGTTAGCTGCTGCCTCAACTGAAAATGTTACTTTATTATGTTACTGCATGAAGGATATATTAAAACATATGAAGAACAGTTGCAGGAATTGGATATGGCTAGTCTAGAGAAAAGAAGGACTAGGAGTGACATAATAGCAGTGTTCCAGTATTTGAGGGGCTGCCACAAAGAAGCACCAGAAGGCAAGACAAGAAACAATGGATGGAAACTAATCAAGGAGAGAAGCAACCTGGAATTAAGGAGAAACTTTCTAGCAGTGAGAACAATTAACCAATGGAACAGCTTGCCTTCAGAAATCGTGGGTGCTCCATCACTGGAGGTCTTTAAGAAGAGACTGGACAGCCACTTGTCTGAAATGGTATAAAGTGTCCTGCTTGAGCAGGGGGTTGGACTAGAAAACCTCCAAGGTCCCTTCCAGCTCTATTCTGATTCATCATTTCTAATCTTTAAGGTGGTAGCATTACAGCTACACTAGATTCCAGGGATTAGTACACTTCTGCATGCCCAATCCACATGAGAAAGAGACCCCAGTCAATTTACATGCTCTTTCTCACTACTCTAAAGATCCTAGCAATGGCAGCTCTGATTTTCTGTGATAAATAGATAACCATCTAAAAAGTTCCACCTCTGCATTTTATCTCTACGTCTGTGGCTATCTTAATGGGAAAGATAATATTTGGAATCATCATAAAAGAGGAGATTTCACAAATCACATTTATTGGTGAAATCCAATTACCAACAGTATTATACTAGCATAAAACACCAGTAAAAACTCCTTCTGAGTTGCTGAAGAGAAAAACAGCCTAGAATGTTATTTCTCATATGATAGTCTTCTACAAGCTGTGATTTGTTTAGTTTGTTTTTCACCTCATGGACTGAGGGTTTGAATCCCACTTTTGCATTCAGAAATTCTGTTTTCTTGCTAAGGATATCCCTGAATGTTAAAATTGGTCCTGTAACGACAGATAGCCATACTATAAAGAAAGGACAGAGACAATATCATGCTGCACATTCATTATCTTTACCTACCGGCTTTGACAGTTCTGGATCTCTTAACTTGAACCTATATTTCCAATAGGTCAGATTGAGCATCCATGATATTAGACCATGGAAATATACCAGAAGGCTTTGCTATGATGCAGTATAGGTGGTGTATAGGTACATAAGTTAGAGTATATATGAAGTAGAATGCAGCAGAGAAATATCAAAGTTTACTTTGCAAGTGTTGCCTTTTAGTGACTACTTCATTAACATGCATATCATGTGTATTTCCCACAGAATCAGAGGCAAGAGCTTTGGCCAAAGAGAGACAAAAGAAAGACAATCACAATTTAAGTAAGTTCCTTCTTTCTTTCTTTTTTCTTTTTAAATGGTCAATTAACAATAGACAAGAACCAACAGACTGCATCTTTGTGATTTTAAAAGCTCACTTAACCCATTCTCATAATAATGGAAGGAAAATATAATTACTTAAATATCTCCAAATGTCCAGTTGACCTTTCTGCAGATGGAATTAGATATTTATTTGTTATTTTATTACTTTTTTTTAAAAAAACATTAATTTTATACGCTGACACTGAGCAGATTTTGTAAGGAATTTAATAATTTTCCACAGTATTTGTTTAGTTTCTGCAATATAAAAATACTATATTCTTATAAAATTACTGTATATATGATTCCTTTACATTTTAATCCAAATAATTTTTGGCTGGAATCAAAAAACCAAAGTGACATTGAAAACATCCAGTAAGGTAATAAAGTCACTGATTGTTTGTTTGTTTTTCATCTTTAATATAAATAGTAAAGGGCTAGTAAGAAACTATTTTAATCTAGTTAATCTAATCGTATCTTTATCATTCCACTGTACCAAAGCCTTCCTGTGCTTCCAAAATTAAGAATTGATTATGAATAAATTAATTAAATTTAATTAAAGAGTTTATGTGTTAGCTGGGAGTAGAGCATTGTTAAGCCTATGTAAATAGATGTAAATAAAATATATTCATTGTAAAACCATCTGGATACTATACTTAATCTGAATTTTTAAGCAAACGTCTTTAATATTGTTGGCTTCTCCATGTTTAATATAACAGAAATATAGCTACATAGATGTAAATTATTTTAAAAGGTCATATTTTTTTAATATCAGGAGCTCTTGATGCATTTATTCTCTAAAGGACTTTTGCTATATATTTATGCCAAAATCTTTTGTCTTATGACAATTTTGAAATGAAAAAATAATAATTTAAAACAAAATTAAAGTGTTTCTAGTTTGATTTTTGGAATCTGTGGATGCGGCTTAGAGATGTTATTCTGTCCAATTTGTGCTGTGTTGATAAATCTATTGTAGAGTATATTTCTTTAATTGAAATAAGCGATCAGTTAATAATATAGGTGGTTTATTATTTTTTCAAATGTTCTCTTCCGTCACTGATTCCTAATTTTATACTGCTTTCTTAAAAGTTGAAAGAAGACGACGATTCAATATTAATGATCGCATAAAAGAACTTGGTACTCTGATACCGAAGTCAAATGATCCGTAAGTATATAATAAATTACTCTAAGAAGGTACATTGCTTTTAAGAAATGATTGGATATGTGTTCTATTTAGCAGAAATACCTCATTTTAAACTGTTCATGTAACAATGGAGGAGGAGGAGAAAGAGGAGAGTGGGAGGGAGAGGAGGAGAAGGAGAAGGAGAAGAAGGCAGGGCTGCTTCACTTCTGGGAAGAGTATACCTTTGAATGTAGACCCTGCCTATATTAAAACTGCCTATTTCTCATTATGATATTGTAAATATTCAATAATGTTCAAAATAGTTCTCACATTGTCCCTTAACTGTCTTTTTGACAGAAAGCCAGATTAATCTTCATGAATATAAGTCTCTAAAACTTTCTTTAATCTTTCTGCCAAAACTGCAGCAAAAAGTTTATAGTCATTGTTTAATAGTGAGATTGGTCTATAGTTCTTTATCTTCTTAACATCTTGACCTTCCTTCAGCAGTATTAGCTTCTTTCCAAGTTTAAGGTATCTTCCCCCCCCCCGTAATATATCATTCATTATATCCTTTAGTGTCTGAAGAAGTTCATCTTTAAAGCATTTATAAGGCCATCTGATTAGACCCTGCCTATAATTGGCAGAGCAGCTGTAGCATCATGACCAAGTGTGGCTTCTGTACCACAAGTACACCTCTATGCATCAAGGCAGAGTGATGCGCTCCATGTGTAACCAGAAGTATATTCTACCAATTACTAGTGAATGAACCATCCACTCCCTCCTGTATTAAAGTTAATATTTATTTTGTTGTAACTATTTTTGTTTTCTGGCAACCATATTTTTGGAGAATGTAGTTTTTGCATAGCAATTGTATGGATTGCTATGTATGGTGCCTCCTCACCACCAAAGTTCTTCCTTAAACTAAAGAGCCGTCAAGACATACTCAACTTTTGACAGCCTTCTTGGCACCAATGTGGGGATGGCTTGCCATTGGTCTCTTTTGGGATGTTTTTGTGCAAAGTGGTTCTCCAGCACAGGAGATGGAGAATCCACCAATGGGTTAGCTCTGTCTTCCTGCCCATTAGATCAAGTCAGCCAAACTTGCCATGCCCTTCCTGGGCTAGGACACATCCAGTCTTGACTTGGTCTTCAGCCCAAAGGGACATGACAAGTTTGGCTTCGCAATGATGAGAGCGAAGGACTAGCAGGCCTGACGTTCCCGGCCACCAAACGAGGCGTGGCCAAAATGGCGGCTGCACTGATCAATTCGCAGAAGTTGCCTTTGCTGCCTTCAGAGGGGAGAGGCGCAAAAAACTGCTGACAATGGCTCCGTGGCAATCGCGTGAGCCTTTCCTTCCCTCGGAGGGGAGCTCAGGGAGGTAGGCAAGGGTGCAGCCTCGAAACCCCCCCCTCCCTGGGTGTCCGATCGGCAGCCACGGCTCACCCACAGCAGTCAAATTGGCGTCCGGAACAATCCGACGTGAAGCAAGACAGAGAACCTCTTGTATCATCCCTGGGGAGCTGAGGAGAGATCGGGGCCTGCAGCGCTGAGCTCAGCGCTGAGCAGCTGAAAGGGAAAGGATCACTCGGGTGAAGCTGAAGCCTCAGCAAATAGTACCAGGGCCCTGGGGAAAATCACCCCCTAAGCCTCCAACAGACAACCTCAAACAGCGCTGATCCCAGTGCTGTTGAGATGACTATGGATGCCAAGAGAAAGGTAGAATCCACCTGGAATTAAACTCTACTACTGCAGCTAAACTGGGAGCCAAACTTGTCACGTCCTTTTGGGCTGAAGACCAAATCAATACTGGGTGTGTCCTAGCCCAGGAGGGGCGTGGCAAGTATGGCTGACTTGGTCTAATGGGCAGGAAGACAGAGCTAACCCATTAGGGGATTCTCCATCTCCGTGCTGAGAAAAGGTGTTCAGGTAAGACAACGCCCATTCTCAGATAGTTAAGAAGCCATCTATCCATTACCAAAACAATCAACAGTGTAGCCTCCTTTCTTTTACATTGAAAGAATGCAATAAAAAGAGTAAGAGGCCTCCTGTCCTAATTCACCTAAATACAGTTCCTCCTTTCAAAGTAGATACTTGCTGGAATTATTGTGTTCTTCCTTGAACCTCTTGCTTAATAAATTTAACTCATCTGAACTCAGGGAGATTTGCTTCTACATGAGCAAAAAGCCTGATAGCTTTTTGACTTTCCAGTCTAGCTGATCCTAAAAGTGTTTCTCCAAAAGGCAACTGGACTTTCTTGTTTTGTTTTTTGTTTATTTTTGAAAACTTTTTGCTTCACAACCAAGAATTTTTTTCAGTTCTTCAGAAGCAAAAGGTTTTCAAGGGAAAAAAACCAAGAAAGTCCAATTGCCTTTTGGAAAACCATCTTTGGGACAACCATGACCTGGATGTTTCAGTATCTCCATAGACAGTCTAACTGACCCTGTTTAGCTTCTCAGGCCAACCAAGGTTAACTAGGTGCTTCTACCTGCTGTGATTAGTGTTTCTTTATAGATATAATGATCTGGATTATTCTTACAGAGACATGCGTTGGAACAAGGGAACTATTTTAAAAGCCTCTGTGGACTATATCCGCAAACTGCAAAGAGAACAGCAACGGACGAAAGAGCTAGAGAACAGACAAAAGAAATTGGAACATGCCAATAGACATCTTTTGCTTAGAATACAGGTTTGCTAATTAGTATATAAAGGTTACAAGCTGTGTGATTTGATTTCTTGATTTCTTAATTTCTGAGCAGGGGGTTGGACTAGAAGGTCCAACCAAGGTCCCTTCCAACTCTGTTGTTCTGTTCTGTTCTATCAAGGTAATTAGTGCCTCTTTTGAAGTGAGAACAGAATAAAAACGGTTAAAAACCTAAATGAAAATTCATACTATAATTTCTACTACATAATGTAATTAGGGTTTGTTTCCAGAATGGTTCTAGAATATTAATCAGTCTGGAAGCAATTATCATAAATACATGAAAGCTGTTTTTGGATAATTCTACTTGTAACTCTGCAAAAGTTCATAAAAGTTAGATTATACATTTTTGTGCACACAAAACATAGGGTAGGGTTGAACATTCTGCCATCCCTTTTGCGTGCACATACAGTAAACGAAACATAAGAGTTTTCATTTTATCACAGATTCCAACTTCACCTGATCCCTAAAACTATAATTATCAGGTGCACCTGTGCTTAAGCACATAAAACTACTCTGCCATAGCCTTCATCTTGCAAAATTCAAAGTGCTTAATTGATACTTGGCCATAGAACTGATGATGCATATAACAGCAGGGCCAGGCCAGAAGCAAGATTCCATTTCCTCATGTTTATAGATATAGGTCATCCTTGATTTATGACCACAATGTCTGTGGCTAAGCAAGACAATTGTTATGTGAATCGCATCCCATTTTACTGCTTTTGCCATGCTTGATAAGCAAATCAATGCATCTGTTAAATGAATCATATGGTCATTAAGTGAATCTGTCTTCCCCATTTGACTTTGCTTTTGGAAACTGACTGGGAAGGTCGTAAATGGAAATCATTTGACCCTGGGACACTGCTGCCATCATAAGTACAGGCCAGCCTCCATATTTTGACCTTGAGGACGCTACAACGATCATAACTTATGAGAATTGGTCACAAGCCAATCTTTTTTTTAATGGTATTGCAACTTTATGCTTAAGGAATTATTGTAAGTTGAGGTATATTCTTCATGTTCTAGGCCAGAGGTAGGCAACCTTGGCTCTTTTATGACTCGTGGACTTCAGTTCCCAGAATTCCTGAGCCAGCATGGCTCAGCTTGGAAACTCTCCCTTTCCCCTCAACATATCTGACTCAGGAATTCTGGGAATTGAAGTGCACGAGTCATAAAAGATCCAAGGTTGCCTACCCCTGTTCTAGGCCTATTGGCCATATATGGCAACAGATACTTTAATAGTTACTTGATAAGGAACTTGAAGAAAAATCCTAGTATGCTTGGTTGTTTTTGTTATATCTTCGGTTTTTTAGGCATTGAACGAGGCAGAGTGTTGAAACAACAAATAAGTTTATTAACTCAGAACAGAGCTGCTACACAGCTATTTATACAGTTAGACTCTAGGTGGCAACCAATAGGTTTAAAGTAACAGTTTCCCGCCCCAAACCTCATTATCAGCTTGGAGACAGCCAGTCTGGCTTTCAGTAACAGCAACTGTTAAACAATACAGCAATGTAGCTCAGACATTAAGCAAGTGATTTAAAACAGCTGTGGTCAATACATTACAGTTTTAGTGGCACTTTGCTACAAGTTAGATAAGATGTTGGTATTCAATGGCCTAAAAGGAATAGAAATCCCACCTATCTTCCTTCCCTCAATCAAATTCTAAGGCTTGAATTTGATATAAAATAGTAGAATTCTTTCAGTACGTTGTTGGAAAGCTCCATTTGTGCAAGTGCAGGATTAGGTTGCACACACAAAACCATCCTTTCCACCCTCTCGCTGCTGCTGCTGCTGCTGCTGCCAGTCGCGGAGCTGGAAAGGCTGGGGTCCCACTTGCTAGGAGCAGTATTAAGAGCAATTTTTTAATCACACAGGAAGCAGCCTTATAGAGAGCATAATGAATCCCCACTGGCCTTACTCTGAGACTGAGTGAAGAGAGGAAATTGCATGAAAGATATACCTATCTTCTGCTTATTCTCAAACAGATACCAAAAGCTGCTTCCCTTCCAGCATATATAGTAATTTCTTAATATTGGCCATCTGATAGAGAAACAATAATTATATTTTATTCCCAGTATGCTCTACTGCACTTTTCACTTTGGTGACTGCCCTTTTTTCCATAACTTGCATCTAGAAAGAAACCTACGTTGGATGAATAATATAATTATTTGTAAGAGGGTTTGGAATAGAAGGCTTGCCTGCTTTTAAGAAAAATGTTAAATTCTAAAGTTGCCATTCTTTTTAAACCCGTTCAATGCATTTCTTGTTTTTCACGCCTCTTCATAACAGGAGCTTGAAATGCAGGCTCGAGCTCACGGACTTTCCATCCTCCCAACTACGGGCCTTTGCTCTCCAGAAATAGTAAACCGGCTGATCAAACAAGAGCCCGTCCTTGACAACTGCAGCCAGGAAATCCTACAGCAGCATCACCCTGAGCTTTCTTCCACAACCACTCTTGACCTCACCGATGGCACCATCACTTTCAACGGCAGTCTGGCAAACATGACAGAATCGGCCACAAGCACTTATGCTGTCCCTCCCAAAATGGGATCTAAACTGGAAGATATGTTGATGGATGATACTCTGTCTCCTGTTGGGGTTACTGATCCACTCTTAACGTCGGTCTCTCCTGGGGCTTCAAATACAAGTAGCCGGCGGAGCAGCGTAAACATGGAAGATACTGACCATGCTTGTTAGTGGATGTCCTTAGACAGGCGTCTCACAAACTTCTTCATTTCCTGATAGGTAGATTAAAGTAATTTGTTCTCCTCCCCCCCCCAATATTTGAATATATAAGTCTACAGATAGTTCAGCGTATGTGACTTTTTTAATGTTTGAAAAGACTTGTACATTGTTTTATAACTACCAATGCTTCCAAAGTATAGTACTGTATCTGTGAACTAGATTCATCAAGGAACTCCAATTGATTTTATCTCTTCTCAGAAGCAATAGATGTCTACAGATCAGCAAGTTCTACTAAAGAGAAACTTCAATACAACTAAGCAAAATGACTTGGAAGTGAAATGAAGAAGAATGTATAGAAACCAAAAAGAAAATTAGCTTTGTATAAACTATTTTTCTGTTGACTTAATAGTGCCTCCTTAAGGAAAAAAGTATACAATATCTATTAATTCATATAATCTTTCCCAAGGCGACAAATAATATACATGTATCAACAGGTACAGAAACTAACTGATTTTAAGTACAGTTCAGCTAGATTTAATGCAAAGGAGACATATCTAAAGATTCAGTCATATTTAAGTTCAGATTATTATCCATTGAGTAAACACTCTTCAAAATTAACCTCTCACCTTTTCAAAAAACATTACTTTTAAATAATCATGAGGAAATTATTTAAAAAAAATACTGTACAAGAGTTCATAATACAAACAGTATTTTTTTTCTCAATGGGGCATAAAAAGTATTTCTTTTTAAAAAAAATATGGGGTACAAATATCTAATTTAAATGAAGTTTTAAATTTTTTGAGTCAACATTTTATTTTGAATACATTTTTATAAGAAAATGCCTCTAGCCGTTGCATCAAGTTTTTGACAGTTAAATTCCACTGAAAGAAAGCCAGTTTAGTGTAGTGGTTAAAGCACCAGACTAGAAACTGGGAGACCATAAATTCTAGTCCTGCCTTAGACACAAAGCCAGCTGGGTGACCTTGGGCCAGTTACTGTCTCTTAGCCCTAGGAAACAAGCAAGGGCAACTCACTTCCAAAATCTTGCCAAGAAAATTCCAGGCGGTTGCCAGGAATCAAAAACTGACCGAAGGCACACACACAAACCCCATTCAATGGATTGTTTTACATTTTTTGTGTACATTTCAGTATAAGCTTTGGTACAGGTACCTGTCTTTTCACGAGTGGATTTGTGGCTATTTTGTATATTACAGTCTTCTTTGAAAGGAATGTTTTGACACAGATAGTTTAAATAGTAATGCAGATTTAATGTAGTTAACAAAACAGAGCTCAATATAAAACAGAAAGTCTGGGTGTGGGGGAAACCCCAACATATTCCTTATTTTTTAGTGAGAATAATATTGTTGAAAATATGATTGCTATGTTCTTTCATACCCTATTACACTTTTCAGCAGTTGTGTTGGAAAAAAAAATACTGTACTTTCAGGTGACTGTCTTGAGCCCAACAATGTTAGATTTAACCATGCAACAGTGTTGTTGTAAGAGCATGTTCTGTGCATTATCTACTCTGATGTAGGCCTATGCAATAACAGTAGTGGCGCCTGTATTATTACCTTGCCTAATTATTTTATACAGAGGTTGTATAAGCTAACCTGTTGAGCAAGAGATAAGCTTCTTCCATAGCATGGAATCCTATCTCCTGAAGAATGAAGTGCCTTAAATTTTAGCTGTAATCTTTATGAACTATGAGTGAAGTGTGATGTAGGAGAAATTGAGGGGAGAAGGGAGGGAATCACACTGGGGGTAGTTGTTGGGCTGAGGTCATGAAACAAAGACTTTCTGATCCCCCCACAGTCCTTGCATTTCCTAAAGTTTTTGACTCCATGTCTGGATATTCTTTGCTTATATATTCAGGAAGTCTGGGCTACTGGACAGAGATAAGCCTTCAGAACAGAGGTCTTCAAACCTGGCCCTTTTATGTCTTGTGGACTTCAACTCCCAGAGTTCCTCAGCCAGGCATGCTGGCTAAGGAATTCTGGGAGTTGAAGTCCACAAGTCATAAAAGGGCCAAGTTTGAAGACCCCTGCTTCAGAATGTTAGTGAAAAAAGATGATCAAGTAAAGTGGTAAAATAAGGCTCCGCAATCATGAGCCTGCCATGCACTTTTTTGCTTTATGAAACCTCTTTAAACCTCTAAGGCCAAATTATGCTGCTCTCTAAATCGAGTTTCACAGTGGAAGTGGGGCCTGGGCCTGTTTTCAGCTTTCCCGATCTCTTAGAGGCAGAGAAGATGACTTGAAGTAAAGACCTTTTCTTTTAACCTCAACATATTTTTCAGCTCATCAGTGCTCAGTTTGCTCCAAACTGACTACCTGAATGCTGATAATACTTAAGAATGTTTGTATCCATATGATAGGAGTAGAAATTTGAATGCTTTTATTGCTGAGGCACCTTAATCAGCTCAGTATTTTTTTGCAAGTTAAAAAGGCTGCAAAACAGTATAATCTGGAAATGAGTATTCAGCCCATGCACAGGAGATACCTCATGTTCAGTAGCTGATGAACAGTCTGTTGTTGCCATAGATCTATTTTCCCCAAACTGATGCCCACCATAGAGGTTCCCAGACAGTGTTTGGAGGCACACGTTGCATGAAACTGCCATATACTATCTAACTGTAGTTAGCATTTTATTGTGGACTGGATTCTTGATATTTTTGTTTTTATAACTATTTTTTAAGTTTATCTGACTTTGGGACAGAATGCTGTTCAAAGCCTAACCAAGTAGGCCACAGTTATCTCTACTGATAGCTTGATCCTGAGCAATGCAATGGCTTGTATTATAAGGTATTGTCTTTCCTTTTTTTAACTGAATAAAGAGCTGGATCTGGCCCTGCTTTGCAGGAGTCTGCTTTCTTGATACCACATTTTCTCTCCTTTTAACTTCAATGCAAACAGTGTAGATTATGCATATTAAAAGACATTTGTTTTTTTTTTCCACAACCCATTTCATTTAATGTAATTGTTGTAATGTCCATTATATAGATACAATGAAGGTCTAAGCTGTTTTCAGCGCATACAAGGGTGGGATTTAGGGGGGGGTGGTTGGCAAAAGAGAGACCCAAATTTGAATTCTGTGGTTTTTATCAGGCATTACTTTTATGGGCTTTCAAATCTGCCTTTGCGCACTAAGGACTAGGAAAGTCCTTATTTCTTCTGGAGGGGAAAAAAACAACCTAAGATTTTTAATAACAGAAATTCTTTTCCAGTGTCAAGTTCTATGACTATGTATATATACACGTTGCACTATGTATGTGTGTATGTATACACACACACACACACACACACACACACACACACACACACACACAACCTCCATGGTGAAACAAGGCTGCTTTTTAAGAAAAGCAATTCTGCTGGATTCTGTTTTGTAATATTTTGAATCAAGAAACAGACACTTAGACCTAAATAAAATGTAACTGTGCCCTGTTACTGAATTTAGAGCAGTGGTTCTCAACCTTTTTAATGCCGCGACCCCCAACCGGTCATAAGTCGAGGACTACTCAACCGGTGCAGCACCGTTTGCAGAATGGGACTTTTGGCGACTCAGCAGGGCAGAGACAGCCTGGACAATTCCTATTGGCTTTTGAAAGCCAATAGAATTAGACTCTATTCAAGAAGCCAATTGAATAAGTAATAAGTAATAATAGTAACTATTATTACTATTATTACTTATTACTTATTCAATTGGCTTTCAAAAGCCAATAGAATAAAAGGGAGTAGCACAGCTAAGGAAAAGGGGGAAAAAATGGCGGACTGCGTTGTTTGGCAACCCCCATGAAATGGTCATTCGACCCCAAATGGGGTCCCGATCCACAGGTTGAGAACCACTGATTTAGAGCATCTCACAGCTTAGTGGAAATACAATCTATCATCTTAGATTCCCTTAGATGAAATTTTTGCATTCCACAATTTCTGTTGTGTGTTCTTTAGAATATGGAGCATTTTGTCATTTCACAGTCTGCAACATGATATATTTGGCTTTTCCTCACTAGCTATTCACTATTTTTCTTTGGATTTTCTCTTTAATATGCTTACATTAGAGTTTTCATATTTGTAATTCATGCAAATCAAATCTAGGAGACTGGTGTCAAACCTTTAAAGTGTAACATATGGCCTCAGAGGATTTTTTTTTTGTCCACCACCACCATCATCCTCATCTAGAACAGGGGTCCCCAACCCCCCGGTCCATGGACCAGTACCGGTCTGCAGCATGCCAGCAAGCAGGCCACACAAACAAGCAAAGCGACATCCTTGGGATGCAGGCAGTATTCAAAACCACACCTCTTTTTGTCTGGGGAAAAACCTTTCTCCATGACACCCGTCCCTGGTGCCCAAAAGGTTGGTGATCTCTGATCTAGAACCCAAAGTCCACAATCTGAGCAGGCTTTCAATGTGTTGCATTTTTAAAACAGAGATGTCAGGGCCATCTGTTACATGGTAGAGCATTAAACTTTACTGAATCTCAAAGTACAAGGATTCCATGAACCCAGATGAGAAAAATAGAAGAGAATCCTAAAATGGCTGCTCAGTCATGGAGTTCAATTTCATTTTTGCCAAAATCACAAAGACTTGTTAGTGCCATGAGCAGCTTCCTTACTACTTTTAAACCGTTATAAAAAGCAATACTAACTCTTTTGCCTATAAAGCCTTTAGGAGAAAAACAAACAAACAACAAAGCACAAAATAATGCACTTATCACATGGTTGGACACAAAATGCACTGGTGAAAAAAATAAATTGGTAGAAAAGACCTCTGTATTTTGAAAAAGTGATATGAATTATTGCGTCTAGTTCTGGATGTTTAGCACCATACTGTTATCCTTTTCATCTGCTGTTGGCTGCAGCAATAAGTTGTGTATGGTCCATCGCACTGTAAATTATGGGTCAAGTTAATGTAAGCCAATTAAATAATTTGAACTGTTCCTAATAGATGAATTAAAGTGTTTTTTTTATGTAATGACTTTATAATTCATGTAGAGTACAATTGAATGATCTGTTTTAAATCAAAGAATGATTTCTGGTGTTAATCTGAATATGAATAACAAATAATACCTTGGATTTCAGAAATTTGCTTCATATCAACTTTCCTTCCTTCCTTCCTTCTGCCATCTAGTGGGCTTGATGTGACACTACAATGCATTGATTTTGCATAATTTGCAGATAGTGAGAATATCATTTTTCATTTTTTTTATTGAAAATTTTTTAAATTTTACAAAACAAATCCCCTCCCCGAAACCCCCCCACCCTCCCATACCCTCCCCCCCTCCCCAAACCTCCCAAACCCTCCCCCCACCTTCCCAGAGTTGAGTACAGGCTTAGTTAAAATTTTTCAAAAAAAAGAAAAGAAAAACTTAAAACACATATAAATCCTAAACAAATCTAAATACCTTAAATTAAATAGGTTATCTTCTCTAAAAAAAAATAATAATTACAGTCCTTAAACACATTATAATATACTCTAAACATTTTCTAACATCATACTTATAATATTATTCATCATTCTGTATAAACTCCGTCCAAGACACAAATTTAAACATTACTTTCTTTGAACATCTATACATCTATTTAAATCTAATCTCTCCCTCTTTCTTTATCATAAAACAAAAAAAAATAAACATATAAACATATTTGTAAACATTTTTCATTTTTTCAAGCAGCATGAGTAACTATTTAATAAACTGTTTACAAATAACTTTTATGTTAAAAAGCAGCCCACCTACATAAATAGTGGCAATCATGAAAGCAGACATGATATCAATCTTTGCACTCTTAATGTGTTTTTTTTTAAAAAAAACCTACATAATGGTTGAAGCCATATTCACATTTTTCTGCTTTGCATAATTTTTAGCCTTCAGAAATACCCATTGTTTTAACAGAAACAGCTAAATAACTGGCAGACATACATCTTAAAATTTAGTTAGCACGGAAACAAACCTAAACTCAGAATACACAGCTGACTAA